CACAGGCCCTCCTTCGAGTGCAGCAGTGCCGAGTGCGCCGAGCACCACACCGAGCATCTCTCCCAATCCCGCTGCTGCGGCCATGTTCATGCCGACTTCAATGCCGACTTCCATGCCGACTTCAATGCCTACACCATGTGCTACCAGTGCCGGCCAGCAGGCCAAGGCTAGGCCACCGGCACAGCAGAACGGGCAGCTCACGGTTCCGGTCCCGCCGGTTAACATCCAGTACTCGATCACGATCACAGCCAGGGCCGTCCGAGCACATGCTGAGCCAGCCGCGACTGATCCCGGCACAAGCACCGGCTAGATTCTAGATCAAGAATCAAGGTGCCCCCTCCAGGCTTCCGCTTCGGAGAGTGCGAGACAGCCTACAGGTATGACTCTACTTAGCAGGTCCAGTCATCCTGGCCAAGTCATACATACAGTATGCTGTGAGACTGCAGCTTTTCGGTGCCTGGAGAGGGCATTGCCTCTTTTGCAGCCGTGCTGCCGATGGCTGTCGTGCGGGGTGCCTGAAAAGCGAGCCGGGGTGAGTTGCGCGGTTTGGTTTGTCCCCTCCCCCTCCCTTGAGGTTTGCCTCCTCGCCTCTTAGGTTTCAGGGATTCCTTCCTTACCCCTTGGTCCCCGTAGGAGTGCCTATCGAGTGCCGTGCGTGCCCCTCTCCCCGACCCTACAGTACGTAGTTCTGTCCCGTCCCCTTTGTGTTTTGTCTTCTTGCTTCGCCCAGGTCCGGACCGCGTCTTCCTTCGCTTCGGTGGGTTCCTGGGGCCCAGTACAGTACATAGGGTTTTCAGGCTTTGTTCAGTTTGTTCCGTGGGTTTGTTGGGCTTTGGGGCTTCTAAAAGGTTCTTGTTTTGTGAACTTCGAAGGGGTCGGGGTTTCCTTGTTGCGAGTGCGTGCACAGGAGGGCCTTGCGCTGCTGCCACCCCGCCCCTCTCGTATGCTAGCAGCTACAGTACTGTACTGTACAGTAGACTGCCCTGCAACCCCAGCCCGTTCCCGGGAACCCCGGGCCTCTCGCCACGGTCAGGTCTCTTCGCTCGGCCTCCAGCTTGCTTGGACCCCGGAGTGCAACCTCTCCGAGTTTACAGTACAGTACAGTACAGTACAGTCAGTAGGGTTGAGGGATTTGTATTGCTGCTCTATGCCGAAATGGCACAACCGACTGCAGTTAGCATATGTTCTCGGGGCATTGGGGGATGCAAGTGCTTGGCGAGGCCTTTGCGGGCAGCGGAGCATCTCGTCGGGAGCTCGAAGTGCTGTACAGTTACAGTACTGTACGTACAGTACAATGATGCACTGCACTTCCATCCATTGCGATCAGCACTGCACGCAACGGCATTACAGTACAGTACAGTATATACAGCAGTGTACTGTATAGTACAGTACAGTATACAGTTCACCGAAGACAGCCGTGCGTCCCTGTGCCCGACCGTAGCAGCATAATCAAGCCTCAGGCACGAGTTATTGTACGCCCTTCGCCCAGGTCCGGACCGCGTCTTCCTTCGCTTCGGTGGGTGCCTGGGGCCTACAGTACAGTACATGGGGTTTTCAGGCTTGGTTCAGTTTGTTCCGTGGGTTTGTTGGGCTTTGGGGCTTTTGGGTTCTTCGTTGTTGCGAGTGCGTGCACAGGAGGGCCTCGGGTTGGTGCTCTTCGCTCCCCTTCTTCATGCTAGGTCGCTGGTGCTCCTGACCTCCCGGGTGCTGGCCAGGCCGTGTCCCTGCTTTGAACTTTTTTTGCCTTCCTCAACGGTTTGCTGCGACAGGTCTCGGAAGATCATCGCGACTCTGCTGGAGCCGGGCAAGCGACATCGCCACTTCCTGGAGAAGGTGCTTGCATGTGCTCATGTGTTGCCAGGGCCCATCTCATCACAGAACAACACAACACGACACCACACAGCATCACACAGCATCACACAGCACAGCGCAGCAGAAAAGCCCACAGCCACACAACATCAGCAAGCGAGTTTCACCTTGACTTTCACGGATGTACCGGAGGGGTGGCTTTCGCATGTGCAAACATTGTCTGTCGGCTGCGTGCATCTTTGTCTGGGTATGCCTGCACACGTATTCCACTGACACGTCTGCGTGTGCTGACTCGTGGGCAGGTGCATCAGTCGTGCCCATCCCGATGCAGGCCTCTGTTTCTGTGCACTTCGTGTGCTGCGGGTCTCGGGTGCCTGGTCCTTGGCATGCCTCCTTTACTTCTGTTTTCCTAGTCCGAAATGCTGCTTGGTGCTTGCCCTTGGTCAGGTTCCTGCTCCGAATGACGGCATCATCGAGGCTGCCTGGACCTTGGGCGTCAGCTGCCTCCTCTGCTGGGCCCCGTCGTTGCTGTGTACTTCACTAACGGGGAGCAGGTGGTGGGCACATCCTTGGGTGCATCGTTGGCCTGGACCTCGGGCTTGAGGTTTGCTGGCCTCTTCGTTGTGGTAGTCTTCGCAGTGCTTTAGGTCCCGGAGCCCGAGAATGCAGCGGCACCTGTTGTGGCAACATGATGTCTCTGTGTCTTGCGAGGCTTCCTTGGATGACCTGGCACCGACAACACACGAGTCATTGGCCTGGGCCTTGGGTCTCCTCGGCAGGCTCTTGCTTCGGGCATATTCATGCTGTGTTGCTGCACCGTAGTTGGGCATGTCTCTCTGCCGTAGCACTTACGGCTCCTCGACGACGGTGGTCGCACTCACGATTTGACGATCGGCAATGTCTGAGCCGGCCGGGAACGAGCAGCATGTCACTCCTGCTACTCACATCCGTCGCAGTCACTCTGGGAGCCCCGATGTGCCAGTCCCGGATCTTAAAAGGCGCCGCCGAACTGGATGCCAGGACGTCGAGGACAACACAGTGGAGAGCGAGCGCCCAAGAGGATCCTTGGCATCACTAGCAGATCTCTGGAGTGCCATGTTTGGGTGGCCCGCACATGCGGCTGGATCTTCTGCTGATCGTGCCGATGCCGTGCAGCAGCAGTCCTCTGCTGATCGTGCCGATGCTGTTGATCGTGCCGATGCTGTGCAGCTGCAGTCCTCCGTGGGCCCAAAGACGCCATCTCCACGTGCTCGACGTGCTGCTCCCCGATCCCCTGTAGGTTCGGTCAGGCAGGGTGAGCCGGTGCCACAAGGTGGTCGTCTGCAGGATGCAGACACGAAGCTCCACGGAAGCACATGATCTTGGCCACGGCAACATGGATCATCGGATCGCGATTGGGGTTCGCTCGCGGGAAAAGGGATACCGGAGCACTGCTGGTCTCCACGTACGGTGCTGGCTTGCATGCTCGGACCCATTGCTGATTGATGTGGCTGTGAGGCCGTTGACAGATCCATGCCGGCATCGACATCTCCGGAGGCGGTATGTCCTGAGTCGGCCGTGTGCTGCAAACGACATACGGAGACATCGGCCATGTAGCAGGTCACTACAGTACTCTTGCTACCAGTAGTGGAGCCGCTCCGGCAGCAGGGCCACTGCACAGTACTGTACAGTACTGTAGACTGCCCTGCGACCCCAGCCCGTTCCCGGGAACCCCGGGCCTCTCGCCACGGTCAGGTCTCTTCGCTCGGCCTCCAGCTTGCTTGGACCCTGGAGTGCAACCTCTCCGAGTTTACTGTAGGGTTGAGGGGCTGAGGGGTTTGTATTGCTGCTCTATGCCGAAATGGCACAAACGACTGCAGTTAGCATATGTTCTCGGGGCATTGGGGGAGGCAAGTGCTTGGTGAGGCCTTTGCGGGCAGCGGAGCTACGGTCAGGTCTCTTCGCTCGGCCTCCAGCTTGCTTGGACCCTGGAGTGCAACCTCTCCGAGTCTAGGGTTGAGGGGCTGAGGGGTTTGTATTGCTGCTCTATGCCAAAATGGCACAACCGACTGCAGTTAGCATATATTCTCGGGGCACTGTGGGATGCAAGTGCTTGGCGAGGCCTTTGCGGGCAGCGGAGCATCTCGTCGGGAGCTCGAAGTGCTGTACAGTTACAGTACTGTGCGTACAGTACAGTGATGCACTGCACTTCCACCCATTGCGATCAGCACTGCACGCAACTGCAGTACAGTATATACAGCAGTGTACAGTACAGTATACAGTTCACCGAAGACAGCTGTGCGTCCCTGTGCCCGACCGTAGCAGCTTAATCAAGCCTCAAGTTATTGTACGCCCTCGCCAAAAAAACACCAAGCCCGCCATGACCTCCGTGATGGACATGCTGATGAAGAATGTGAGTGCGCAGGAGATGGCGCGAGCCAGGCGGGCCAGCCAGCAGGTGGCGCAAGCTCCGGGGGAGCCTGCCACCAGCGCTGGGCCGCCGGCCGAAGACGACGCTGTCTCTGAGGCCCCACTTGCTCCAGAGAAGGGCGATGCGAAACTGCCCGCCCTGCCACCGGGTGTCCACCGATTCATGAAACAGACCCGGGCAAACCTGGACAAGAGCACCTACCGGAGATTTCAAGCGGTGCATTGGGGTGAGGCAAGGGATGCGGTGGCGATCGCCTGGAAGGAAGAGGCAGAGAGAATTCTCTGCGATTTCGAGTTGAAATCATCCAAAGACGCACTTGCCTTCCTGCAGAGCATGGACTTGTCCGTTGCCTCTTCAGCTACGATTGAAGCAAAACGCTGTCTCTTGGTGGAGTCGCTGCAGAACGGCCGCATTCAGCAGGTGGAGGACCGGCTGTGCCTGGTTGCCCTCAAGACACTCGCCCACCTAGATGAAGTTCCTTCTGGCTTCAATTTGCGAAGCCGTCCTGACGGCTTCCACGCCGAATGGAGTGGGAAGAAGGGAATGCTGCTCAAGGCCCGTCTTCTGCAGAACTGGACATCGCCGTGCTCAACTACTGTAAAGTACTGTGGAGCACAACGCTGTACTGTACTGTATACAGTAGTCATGTACCGTAGCGCAAGCTGTGTGCTGCTCTGCATTGCTACTTGCGGTACTGTACTGTACAGTACCGCACTGTGCTGTACTGTACTGTACAACATGATACTGCACAGTACTGTAGATTGAGTTTCATTTCATCTGAATGCCGCAGGTGCACAAATCCGCTGCTGCAGCCTGTGCTTTCTTGCAGAGTATGCAAGCTGCTGAGCAGAGCGGGGCGGTGGAGAAGTCGCTCAAGGAGCTGGAAAATCAAGGCTCAGCAGCAGGGGAGTCGCAGAAAGCTATCCGGGCACTGCTGAAGCATTCGAGCTCGCAAGAACTGGGCCAAGCCGTGCTGGAACTAGCCGATGCTGAGACTGAGACGCCTGCCGTGCTTGCAACTGCCGAAGACATTACGGCGGAGTTCCTAGCACCCATGTCGCAGATGGGGCCGGAGCTGTGTGTCGCCGAGGTTGGCGTGTACAAGGGAATGCTGAGGTATCTGCATTCTGCGACCGACCCTCGCGGCCTCCTGGCTGCCACTTCCGATCTTGTCTGCCGGGACTTGATCTTGAGTTCTGGGACGCCCCTGCGGGACGTGCTGAAGACACCCGAGCTGCAGGAACGCTGGAAGGCTCTCGACGTGAAACCAGTGGGCATGGTGGTGCAAGGAGGGGCGTCGCCGCAGCAGCATCACGAAGATCTGGAGATCCTGCGCCAGGCAAATCCGTCCGCCGAGCAGCTGCTGTTTATGTCCTTCCCCGGGCCTATTTCATGGCAGGTGCAATTCAACAACGGTCTCCAGTGCTGTAGAGCGGAGCCGAACTCCCACGTGGGTCGGAGAGCGGGTAGGACCAGCTTCACAGCAGCCAGACTGGAACAGCTGGGCGTCACGTTCGAGGACGAAGCACGGGCACTGGCACTGAGGGCCATCCAAGCCACCACGGAAGCAGGGATGCAGCGGGTTGAGAGACGCACCCAAGCCCAGATCATACCCGTGCCTCCTGATGGACTTTGCTGCTACCATGCCCTGATTGCCGGCCTCGACTGTGCCAGATACCTGCGCGGCACGGCATACATTACAGTACATACTGTACAGTAATGTACAGTACTACTGTACTGTACTACAGTACTGTACTGTACGGCGTGGTAATTACAATACAGTACTGTACTGTACTGCGCAGTACTGTGTCAAATTCCCAAACCGGACAAATAACCGCAGTTAGCATATCAATTGGAGCGTCCGCCCTTTCTGTGCCACATGTCTGTGCAGTACAGTACTGTACAGTACGGTACGCATTGCACTGTCCTGCAGTGCTAGCACATTGTTTCCCGAGGCATAGACCGAACGTCGTTGGGCTTCGCCAGGAACAGTCGGCAACAGCGGCTGGAAGCAGGGGCGGCTTACGCACTCCGGAACCTGGCGCTGGAGGCAACAGCCGACCTGGAATTTCCGGAGTGGCTGGCGCGGCTCGCCCACAACGCCGCCCAGCAGATGCCTGTGGACGTGCAAGAGCTGCACTGGCTTGCACGTTCGCTGGAGCTGCGGATACGGTGCACCGTGGACGCAGAGGCGCTCATAGGGAAACTGCGCAGTTAGCACCTGCTGAGCAGGCATGGGGGCATGAGGGGCACAGTACAGTACTGTACGTACAGCACATTCGAGAATTGAAGTCGTTACGCATGTTTGTGGATCTGACCAGACACAGGGGGGAAGCATTTGCATAAGTCACAATGCCCAAAGACTTTCCTTCAGCGCAGTTCTGCGCAGTGGTGTACTGTACAGTATCCGCTGTTATCTGGAGGTGCTGCAGTGGGTTGTCGGCATCAACGAGGATGCCATCTATGGGGATTGTACCGACGACACCTATGATGTCCATGTGTACTTCCGCTGTCTCACAGGCGAGGACGGCAGACGATGCAGCCACTTTGATCTTCTTCTCCCGTATTCCGAAGGCGATGAGCAGATCGGAATGGTGATCCCCGTGCCGCCTACAGTGAAGCCCGCCCCTGTTTGTGAAATGTACAATGATCGCTTTCCTGGCCAGCAGATGGAACCGATGAACGACAAGCCTGAGGAGCAGAATCAGGAGAACGTTTTGCAGGGGGATGAAGTTGAGACGATGGCCCCGCAGATCACGGAGGAGCAGAAGGACAAACAGGCCGAGTCCCAGGAGCAGAGAGGGGAGCAGATAAAGGAGGGAACGGCCAACAGCGAGTCCCCGGAACAGGGCGAGGAGCCGCCGATGCCTGCGGAGACCCCGAAGCTACTGACGGAGAATCGCCAGGATGAGAATGCAGAGAAAAAGGAGGAGGACACTGAGACCAAAGGTGAGGCCAAGAACGAGCTCCCGCAGCAGAGGCAGAATCAGCAGGTGGACATCCCAGACAAGAATAAGGATGAGGCAGGTGAGACCAGTCATCAGGGGCTTGAACAGCAGCAAGAGCAGGCTGACAAGCAGTTGCATGATGAGCAGAGGGAAGTTGAGGAACTGGAGGAAGAGGACAAGGGCGAGGGAGGGGAGGAGCATCAGGAAAGCGACAACGGGCCGCAGGAAGAGGAGCAGCGGCAGGAAAACAACCAGGGGCTGCAAGAAAAGAGTCAGGGAGGGAAGGAGCAGGAGCAGGAACTCAGTGAGGAAGCGGAGGCAGATGAAAAAGGCGAGGGCGGGGAGAAGGAGCAGGAAGTTGATGCTGAACAGGAGGAAGATGATGAGGGCGAAGGAGAGGAGGAGGAGGAGGAGGATGAGGAGGAGCAGGAGAAGGAGGAGGAGGAGGAGGAGGAGGAGGATGAGAAGGAGGAGGAGGAGGAGGAGGAGCAGGAAGATGACGAAGGTGAACAAGCAGAGGAGGAGGAGGTGCACGAAGTCGATCCGGAAGTGGAGCCAGATGAGGAGGGCAATGGGGAGTTCTGTGCTTGCAGTACAGTACAGTACAGTTCAGTACAGTACATACAGTACTGTGTAAAGCAGTCGGCCCTGCTGAACACAGGTCATATATATGCCATAGTACAGTGCAGCACATTACTGTAATATACTTTACAGTACAATAGGAGTGCACTTCTGGTCTGTCCCAAGGAGTCGAGACCTGCCAACATGGAGACCATGCTTTCCATTGGCAAAATGGAGATCCTTCAGAGCATCTTCCAGGGAGAGAAAACGTTGGAGATCCGCAACCGGCAACTACGGCCTGGCCGCACCTGGGTGTGTCTCAAGGACCGAGTCTACGGCACCGTGGATGTGGGCAAGCCCTTCCGCATCTCTGACCCGAAGTTATGGAAAGCCAGGAAAGCTGACCACTGCGTGCAGAGCAACGTGCCAATGTACGGAGAGAAGACGTGGGCCAACCCCGTGTCCAACCCTCGTAAGCTCCCAGAGCCTCTTGCCTTTTATCGCAAACACGGGGCCATCGGCTCTGTCAAGTACAGGCCAGCGGAGGGAGCCAAGAACAAGAAGGAAGAAAAGAAGGGTGAGGAGACGAACGAGGAAGGTGACCAGTCTCAAAGCACCACTTCGGCGTCCGCTCCCAAGAAGTATGCCGTGGCCACTCTCTGTCCCGCACCCTCATGGACAGAGTGCGGGAGGCAGCCAATCAGAAGCGGAAGAGCTTCGAGCTCCTCACCACCAGCAGATACACTGCTGGTGGTGAGATGCTTCTGGTGCAGACCAAGACGGATAACAAGGTGGCTATCCAGGCCTCGCTTGTGCAGCACAGGCGGCTGACGACCACCTGGGAGCTCACCAAGGCTGCTGCCTACAAGCAGGCCACGGCACCCGAACAGACGGCGTGGAAAGCCAGGTTGCACCAACACCTGGCCGTCTACAGCTGTCGGCTCAGCAACCTCCGAGCCCCGTCGACAAATATACGACTTCGGGGCGGCCACGGCTGCAGGAGGACGGTGGCCGTGGAATCCGATGTCGTGGAGGAGGAAGCCACTCCGAAGGCAGAGATCCCCGCTCTCAGCCTCCGGGACACAGCTCGCTACTTTTTGCAGCGTCTGTCGGAGGCAGATCGAGGGAAGCTGAGCGCTAACGTCAAAGGGCTGAATGGCTGCGAAATCAAGCTGGGCAGCACTTGCTCAGGGACAGATGTGTGCACGAACGTGTTCAAGCACACGCTGCAGTTCCTGGCCGAGCAACACCAGGCCACCTTAGCGCACAGTACAGTAGTGTACTATGCAGTACTGTACCGTACAGTACTGTACAGTGCAGTGCAGTACAGTAGTCCACGCATTCTGCAGTACCGTACAGTGCCGTACTATGTGCGGCTGGCGGGCAACGTGGATGGCAACCCTTCCTGTATAATTTCTGTTGTCAAGACCCTGCAGAGAACTGCAGTTAGCATATATTCCGGGCCAGCCGCCTTCGTTCCGTGACTCCGTGTATACCTGGGTGGGGTGGGTTCCTCCTACAAGCTGCCATGAACACTGTACTGTACAGTACTATGACTGTACCGTGTCCCTACTGCACAGCTGCGTCGGGAAGTGCGGTTACCCGGGCGGTTCCCTTGTTTGAGACCGTGCTGCATTGTACAATACAGTGTAGTACAGTACGGTACTGTACCTGTATACCGTACAGTACAGCATGGTACTGTATACTTTCCTGCGCTGTATCGTGTGATCGTTTGACGCTCAGGTCTCCATCAGCGTCAAACATGTGCTGGCAGTGGAGCTGGATAAAGGCAAGCGCGATTTTCTGATGCGCGCACACAAGCCCACCTTCTGCCTTTTCGAAACGGTGGACATGTTCGCCAAGGGCAAGACTGCATTCTGCCACACGTGCCGGCGAGTACACGAGGCGCCTGACGTCGACGTTCTTGTGGTCGGCTCCAGCTGCAAGTCCATTTCAAGGATGAACAACTCGCGGACAGACTACCAGGATTGTTGCTCGGCATAACGTTAGTGCTTTGCTGGACGGCCACACTGTACTGTACAGTACAGGTCGAAACGCAGTACAGTACAGTACTGTAGTGTTCCGCATACTTGTACCGCAACCTACATCACTACACTGTACTGTACAGTACTGTATGTACAGTGCAGCGCTGCACTGTGATGTATCGCATGGCAATCTGTTTTTGTCTGTGCACATGCAGGCTACCAGAAAGGCAAGGGCTGTTCTGGGAGCACGTACCAGAATGGTGTCCTGCAAGCGAGCAAAGAGTTGGCTCCAGCCCTTCTCTTCTTTGAGCAAGTCGTAGGCATTTTGGATTCGCCGGTGCAGAAGAACGGCAAGAGAAAGACTCCTTTGGTCCAGGCCGGTCGGGGAACATGACTTTAGCGCAGGGTTTCCTTGTTGTACATGTGGCAGAAATGGACAGGCGGACTGCAGTTAGCATATGCTGTTGGCCATGGGGTCGCCGAGTACTGTATTGCACAGTACTGTACTGTACTGTAATGTATTGGACTGTACTGTAGGAACAACACATAACAGCACAGATATTCCCAGTACAGTACGGTATAGTGCTGTACAGCGCAGTACAGTGCAGTGCATGCAGGTCATGGAGAGCGACATGGCATCGCTAGGCTACACCTTCCAATTCAAGAAGCTGGACGCGCAAGGCTATTTGTTGCCGCAGCGCAGGAACCGGGTCTACGCACTAGGAGACGTCCAGTCAGGCCGCGAACCCTTCAACCTCCAGTCGGCCATGGGACAGACCCTCGCAGACTTGGCATCGGACGTCTCTTTAGCAGAGCAAGTCTTCGATGCGAGCCTGCCCAAGGAAAGTCCAAGGTCAGCACTTGGAGCTCAAGTAGTGGAAAAGGCGAAAGAGGAGGCTGCGCTGCGTGCCGATATTGACATTTTCATCGACACGCAGACATCACTCAAGCGAAAGCCCGAGATGAGCTATGCAACCTCCACATGTGTGCGGCCGTCGCACGAAATCTACTCGGCAAGGATGGAGAGATACCTCACCCTCCGTGAGCAGTGGCTCTGCCAGGGTTTGTTCCCTAACGACTTTGAGTTTGCCGAGGAGGTGGAGAAATTTATCAGAGAGAAACCTAGCCTTGCGAAAGACCTAGTCGGCAACGCAATGGCTGGCACCGTGCTGCAGGCTCAGGCGGGGACACCTGTACTGTACTGTACTTACAGTACAGTACTGTAC